AAGTCCCTGACTCCATTATACTCTGTGCAAGGAAATGGGTAGCTCAGTAATTCAGAGAAAGAGAGCCCTTGCTAACAAGGTGGGAACTGGGATGGCATCACAAAATAAGGTGCATGGAGATGTCTGTGCTAGAGTGTTTTCTGACTACATCCTGAGAATCTTCCATCTCAAGAGAGAGATCAGCACCTGCTGGGCAAGAAACCTCACCAGGCAAAAGAGGAATCTTACAGCGATTGAGAGCATGAGCAAGGGGCCACTTGAAAGGCTATGTTGATTGAAATGGAGGCATTTGAATCTTTAAGAGTTGGACATGTTTTCCACTACTCTTCTGCCAACTGAATGGCCCCGATTGGCTCTTACCTGTAGATGGGGCCCTCACCATCCGGGCACCCACCCTCAGGCTTGCCTTGCTTCCCCAGTCTGTCTACAGGCCAGGGCAGGAACACCCCCCACCTTACCTCTCAGGGACAATGTCCACTTTGGAGATCCTCACTTACTGGCCAGGCTCGGGGGCTTCTTTTAGAAACCAGAAGTCATAGCCCACCCCTCTGTCAAATCCAAGAGTATGTGTTAAATGCATACTGTGTTTTTAATAGAAGCAAGTGAAAGCCCCCATAATCCCTCACTGGTGTGTGGTTCTTGATGGTTTATGGAGCAATTTTATGCATAGAAGCCCCTTAAATCCCCTTAATGCCTTGGGGGGGGGTCCCCTTATCCTCATTTTTAGAGCTGAGGAAAGGAAAGCTTAGCAAGGTCAAGCCCGGGTGCAAATGGGACTGAAACCAAATCATGTAGTGGGCTTCTCACACCACGTAGGGCAGCTACACTGCCTTTCTGGGCCATTTTATGAGGAGGGAGGAAGACTGTGGTGGCGAAATCACCATACCAGAGGGGGCCTGCTCTCCACAAGACTTATCATCGATGTTGTTACCCTGACTCACCAAGTTCTGCTCTGTAAAATGCCGGCTCTTCCCTCCACCCCCTCCATACTCTTCTGCAGAAGCAGGACACTAAGCACTGCCCACAGCCAAGGGATGAGGCTAGAATTCAGCTTCACCTCCGAGGCCAGAGGAGCTACGTAAATTATTCCGAATTTTTCTGTAAGGAAGGTTGGGCTCTTCTCCACTGCTTTGTTTTGTTTTTAATATTTATTTATTTATTTGAGAGAGAGAGAGCAGGGGTAAAGGGAGACAGAAAGGGAGAAAGAATCTCCAGCACAATCTCCACTGTACACGGAGACTGACATTGGGCTTGATCCCAGGACCCTGACATCATGACCTGAGCCCAAACCAAGAGTTGGATGCTTAGCCAATTGAACCACCCAGGTGCCCCCTCCATTGCTTTGGTTTTTACTGGCCTTTTACTAGAAGGTCCTGAAACCAGTCTGATGGATTTTTTTTTTTAAAGATTTTATTTATTCATTCATGAGAGACAGAGAGAGAGAGAGAGAAGTAGAGGGAGAAGCAGGCTCCCAAGGAGCAGGGAGCCCGATGCGGGACTCGATCCCAGGACCCTGGGATCATGACCTGAGC